GTGCTTGGAAAACGTGATTTACATCACGAAACAAGAAAAGGTATCGATCTATTATTTAAGCCCGTTTTTGGGCGAATTTGTTCGCACGAAGCGAAAACCAAATTTCGGCAATGTGATTGGTCAGCGAAAAAATTCGCCGCGAAAAAGTTGGATCAGTTCCTACTCTTTTACTTGTCGCTTCGCGCGAACAAATTCGCCCAGTAGAAAACTTAACGTCATTCCAGTGACTGTCATTCTACTTCCTGTTAAAAATTTTGTTAAAACTCAGTGGTTCCCGTAATTTTTATTACCGATTACGTATGACGTCATTGACGTCAACGAATGTTTTCACGATTTCATGTTTGTCAATAGAGCCCCCCCCCCCGCTTCGGTAAATTTAGTTCTACAGCACGGTGCAAAGCCTTGCAAAGTCTCTATTGCACTATTCGTCGACTATTCGTACTATTCGTCGACTATTCGCGGACTATTCGCACTATTCGTCGACTATTCGCGGACTATTCGCACTATTCGTCGACTATTCGCGGACTATTCGTACTATTCGTCGACTATTCGCACTATTCGCACTATTCGCTTCACTATTCTAGTTTTATCAATTGCCCGAATTTCAGTCCGAATTTTACTTGAACGAATTTCGAAGTGAATTTCTGCAAATTATCCGACAAAACCTGCCACGTGTTTGTGTTCGCAACTCACAAGAAGCCACCAAGTGTTCCGCCACGCCAGAGCTATTTGAAAACAGCGTAGAAAAGTCACAATAAGCCATCGCTAATTCACTCTACGCTGGAGCGAAATCGTTTGAAAACTTTCACGTCACTTTTGCCGTAACAATTTGAGCACGGTTTCTAAACGGAGCAAGGTGAAAACGGCGGAGCGCTTGATAGCTTCGTGTGAACACAAACGTGTAAACTTGAATGCTTTTCAGTTAAATTTCTTGGGTCTATTTGAAATATTTTGGGTTTACACGAGTGCTAATTCAATTTGTAAACAAACTGTAATGGCGGTAGTATGAACACACGTAAATTCTGCCCGCATTAGTAATTCGCTCGCGCGTAGTGTGAACGTAGTCTAATTTTCGGTGACGTTTTCAAACGGCGAGGTAGCCTTTAGAAAAATTTAGAAATAGTGGATGTCCGAAGGGGAGGGGGGTAATTTTGGGCTTGGATGTCCGGAGAGGGGGGGAGGATGAACCATTCAAGGATGTCCGAAGGGGGGAGGGGGTTATTTTCGATTTCCTCCGTAGGGGGGGTATGGATCTTTTCTGGAATGACCCATTATATATATAAGATTACTATGCTTTGATATTAATTAAAATTGAAAAATTGTTTTTATTGCATTTATCGCAATATTATCGAATATCGTGATAATTTCCTTGGCAATAATCGTCAGATGATTTTTTTAATATCGCCCAACCCTAGCCAGCAATACCATTGTGGCACTGATCCTTTAATTAAAAGGCAAAAGCAATATTTATAGATAAATTTAGCTAAAGTTTGCTTATACCAATTCACAACTCTAAGCCCAGTTAGCCTGTGTACAGCTGTTACTCTCGACGAAGCGCATGAGAGAACGTCTGTGAGTTGGATGCATAATCCTTGTTCAGGTCACATGGATAGTTCCCAGATTTGGGGACAGGCCTCTGATTGGACAGTGCTTTATTTGAATAATTTATGACAATTACAAATGAAGCTATTTCATTGGTTAATTGATAATTAGCATGCATTTAAAATAACAACACAAAAAATTTAAATTCAGAGATTTCCAGATCAAGAATCAAGATTTCGTTCGGGCATACAAAAGTTTGAAAGACTTGAAATATAATCTGTTGAGTTTATTTTGTGTTGAAAATCAAGATAAAATTCAACAAAATATAAAATACAACATCGGACGGAAATTGACAATTTATAATTGACAATTTAATAAATTGACAATCTGTTTATATGTCCCAATCCCTCGCGATAAAGCATTTTCTTTACATGTATTCTGTTTAATTACAGTATACACCAATAACTGAGCTTGTACACCGGACTTGCCGGCAATGATCATCGTTCAGCATTGTTCGTATTCAAAACAAATCTCTTCATCGAGAAATATATGCAATATATTTCTGGTGCATCGTTTTTCAGATTGTAATTTATTTATTTAGCTTTGCCAACTAGGGCAGGGTCACCACAACAGCATATGCCAATTACTGTGGGGCCCTTTTTACCTAACCCACCCAACTTTCCCTGAGGATTGGGTTGAAGTCACATAGAGAAAGTTCTCACTGAGCAGGCTTTTTTTCAGGGATCTTTTAGGGCCGTTAAACGGCCCCAAAAACTCAATCTTGAATTTAATTTTGAAACTCAATCTTCTCACCAAAGTTTCAGTGCAGTAAAATGAAGTTGATTGAGCTAAATTTGTGACGTGTGGAAATTAGTTTTCAGTTGGAAACCTGTCAATTAAAAAAAATGGCTGGAATTCATCTCACAACACAAGAAAAACTATGCATTCGCCATCTTTAACCAGTTTATAGTGTCCCTTAGTGCCCCTGCTTTAACACATTCCGTCCCAACTACATTTATTGAGTACAGGTGTCAGCCCCCGGTGGGGGGGGGGGTGTAGCCACCCCAGCTGTTCAGCTAAACTCAATCTTCTCTGCAAAAACGGACCCAAGAGAAAATCCTGAAAAAAAACCTGACTGAGGCTTGAACCTGCAGCCTCAGAGGTGAAAGGCAAGTGCACTACCAATTGGCCACCTAAGCCCCACAAATTTCAAGTCTTTCAAACTTTTGTATGCCCCGAAGGAAAACTTGATTCTTGATCTGGAAATCTCTGAATTTAAAATTTTTGTGTTGTTATTTTAAACGCATGCTAATTATCAATTAACCAATGAAATAGCTTCATTTGTCATAAATTATTCAAATAAAGCACTGTCCAATCAGAGGCCTGTCCCCAAATCTGGGAACTATCCACGAGACCTGAACAAGGATTATGCATCCAACTCACAGGCATTCTCTTGCGCACTTCATCGAGAGTAACGGCTGTATACAGGCTAAGCCTGGATCGAACAGGGATGAAATTGGCAATCACACAACCTTGGTTAGCTGTTCTTAACGCTTTCCCAAAACTATCATGTATTTTATTTCATTTGAAACATACTGTAGTTTGAAAACCTATCAAATATTCAAACCTTGATTTTGTTAATCTAGAGCTTAAAATCGGTCCACTGTAACAATTGTGACCGCCAACTCTCTTGACGAGAGTAGAGTAAATAACTTGCATGCCTAGCTAGTTACCAGGGTGGATTCCATATTAGGCTGTTGTGGTATTGGAAAATTTCTTTATATCGCTATCGAAAAAAAAATATAGACTATATTGAAAATATACAAATTAGCAAAATTACAAAATGTAGTTCGGCCAATATACCACATCACAAATGGCAAAATAAATGTATACTGTGTCGAAAACAGCAAAAAAAAGTTGTGTGAAACTAATCGAATATCAAGTTTGGTAGTGATCTTTTGTGATAAACACTTGCCCACACGTGTTTTCTAGACTTTACTGGGAAATAGTTTTGATAAAACTTTTGATATTTTTTCGGTATTCAAAAAATCAAATATTGATATTTTTTAAATTTTGATATGCCATGTTATTGTCACACCAGAGGTACACCAAAGCAATTGCCGACATATGCCTACATATGAAGTTCCACCAACAATGACACTGCCCCCTGCTAAAGTTGGGCGGTATACTGAGTATTCTTAGTTATTCACGGTATTTAGTTGATACTGGTATGGCGGTGGCGGTGTTGGTTTTGACGCTATACCGGTATCGGCAGAAAACTGTAAGATATACCAGCATCATGGCTATTATTAGTTTATCTTTTTATTTGAACAGCAACAAAAGTTCACAGACGAAAAACAAACACAATGTATGCACATGCGAAATAGGGTATAGATTAGATTTTAACATTTTAGAACATAGTAAGTTAACTAGCAAGTAAATCAGTAAAAATTTTACGACAGCAGTCGATCATATGGAAACGATCATTAAAATGGATAATTTTCTTGATTTTGCCTTGAATTTTTGGGTTATTGAGTGTAAACTGCATTTACTGCAGGTCACACATTTCCTTAAAAGATTTTAACGGCATACAGCAATACCTGCTCAGCCCAGCTCTAGCTCTATCTTATCGACCCAATCTCATTTTTAGTTTCTGGAACAACCCAATCTAGTTTTTAGTGAAATGTGAAATTGCTTTTTTAAGACACACGAATTGTGAAACAGCTTTTTTCCGTTGTGAAAAGTGACCCATACCTCCCTTTCCGAATACAAGTCGTCCCTCCCCCCAAGTCGATTCGCCCCAAGTCGTCACTGACTTTGTCAAACCTTTTCACACTTTTGTTTTCGTCTGAAATGTCAGCTTTGGCTTTGACAAGTTTGAAGCGTGCATGCATTAGTGAATAGGTTTTTAATTTTTAACAAAAACAAACGTGTGAAAAGTTTGCAATGCATATTTGAACGTAAATGGCAGTTCCCTCATCTTTGCGTTTGAAATTTTCATATATTTTGCTATTGCTAAAAAAAGCTTTATCGAATATCCAATAAGTTTTTGGAGGCCAAACAACTTTGACATCTAACGACTTCGGGGCGAAACGACTTGGGAACGAAACGACTTGGGGACGAAACGACTTGGGGATGAAATGACTTGGGGACGAAACGACTTGGGGGCAAAACGACTTGGGGGCAAAACGACTTGGGGATGAAACGACTTGGGGGCGAAACAACTTGGGGGATGAAACGACTTGGGGACGAAACGACTTGGGGGCGAAACGACTTGGGGACGAAACGACTTGGGGGCGAAACGACTTGGAGGCGAAATGAACAGATACCCATTTACCCAATTTTTCCCACCCTCTTTAGATTTATCTATACGAGTATTTTTAATAATAACTCTTTATATACATAACTCTATAAATGCTTGGTTACTTTTGTTTGATCCTATGCTTCTGTATAAAACTAGAACAGTAGTAACTGGGCATGAGTTACCCTAAAGCCACAAGTGAATTAGGCGTATTAAAACAACGTTGATAGCCAAATTTGTCTAGTACCATAGAACTGACTCTACTCAAAATTTTATGTATAAATTGAAGTACAGCTTCGACAGAGACCTTTAAAACTAAAAAATATTACAAAGAACCCGTTAAAAAACTTACCATTAATTCATTAAAACAGGCTGTTCTTTCATTCAAGCGTTGTCTAGCTTTATCCACGGTCGAATTGCGAGTAGAAATTTTTATATAGCGATGTAATTTCGGTCCGTCTTTCACAGCAAATAACATCACAATAACTACATGTACTTTCCTCTCTCGTGACGAAACACTCTCCCTTTCCATCGAGTTATAATTTCCACCACGAACTAGTCGCTATAACGTAAAATAAGCGGTTATTTCAAAACAAAATTCCACTCAAATGCCCAGGTATAAACGAACGCCATCTTGTCTTCTCGAGAATAAGAAATTTTCCCGCCAAAAACACGTGAGTGAAGTCCCGTATGAAAATGACGTCACACTACCAAACTTGGTCAAACATTTCAAAAATACGCACTAAATGCAATTTTCACCTGTTTTAGCTGTTTATTTTCGCTTTTAAATTCATATTTGGTGCAAATTAGAAGGTGTTTTATGAATTACCAAAGTACCAGACAATTTGATGTACATTAATAAATCCAACGCGCGACCTCTAAAACTTTAGACTTGCTCCCAGCCCGCGTGCAGGCCCACCGAGAGTATTCTTCCCATAGATATAGGATCTCCTATATCTATGTATTCTTCCCTTGGGCCTGCACGCGGGCTAACTTGCTCCAAGCACTGAGCTATACTATATTACTGGAGGACCTGCTCAGCATGAAAGAGTGTCGCCAAAAACATGGCAAAACTCCAAAAGTTATTTTAATAGCTCAGTGGCTCCAAGTCTCTCTTTTATTGTCAAATACGTCATGTAATGTACACTATAGTGGATCGATACTATTTGGCAATGAAAGAGAGACTTGGAGCAAGTCTACTAAAACTTGGACCTATAAAAACTCAACAATTTGAGACATATGAACCAGTTCTGCTGACCTGAGTTTCTTTGCGTGATTTTCTGTCCTGTTTTCGTCACCGGAATTTTAACACAGTATATATGCAGATTAACCAGTAATAGAAACACGGCAGGAACAGGCAGGTTTAGTTGTAAGCCATCTTTCATCAGGACTATAAGAATAAACTCTTAGTTTGAGTAATGTGATTCATAGGAGATCGTCGACGTTGTAGATAATTGTATTAGACTTGCTCCGAAACCTTTGTCGCGGACCGGGTTAATTCTTGATGAAGGATCTGTCGAACTGTCTCGATTACTTCCATGCAAGGATAATGCCTAGAAAGAGACGAAGAAGCTAAAGAGAAAAAAGAGAGAAAGAGTTAAGGTTTCCTTCTGTGGTAACCCTAGAAAAATATGAGATAACCCTTACTGGATCTCTAGAAAGAACAGTTTAGAACTGATAGAACTATCGATATCCAGTATAAATAGTTGGTTCAGTTTATGTTTCCTCCTGTAGTAACACTGGATCGATAAGAGATGATCCTTACTGGGCCGCTAGGTAGAACAGTTTAGAACTGACCGAGCTATCCAGTATAAACAAAGTTAGTTTAGTTCAGGTTTCTTCCTGTAGTAACACTGGATCAATATAAGAGAATTAGAGATGATCCTTACTGGGCCGCTAGGGAGAATTCGAACAGTTTATAACTGACAGAGCTATCCAGTATAAACAAAATTAGTTCAGTTCAGGTTTCCTCCTGTAGTAACACTGGGTCAATAAAAAATTATCCTTACTCGGTCTCTAGGAAGAACAGTTTAGAACTGATAGAGCTATCTAGTATAAACAAAGTTAGTTTAGTTTAGGTTTCCTCCTGTAGTAACACTGGATCAATAAGAGATGATCCTTACTGGACCTCTAGCAAGAACAGTTTAGAACTGATAGAGCTATCCACGTATAAATAAAGTAAGTGTGTATTACTTTAATATTCAGTACCCAGGATATAACTCGAAGCTGATCATCAGAGACGGCGAGAAAAAAAATATGATTTAGTTTCGAAATCTTTCTCAGTTAGTTTCTTGGTATTCCAAACATCAGCGACAGACGCCAGGAAGACAGTGGTATGAGTCATTGCAATAGATCTTTCCCCTTATATGAGTGAAATTTTGATCTAGATATGCCTGGGCAACAATTTCCGTCATCACAGATTGAAAGAGCATCACAAAATTAGATTGTAATGCAAAATGACTGAAAAACGGCAAACTTCACAAGGCTATTTTATCTGCATTTTACAACATTTCGCAACGAAACTTCGGAATATTACTAATTTTGTGATGCTCTTTCAAGCTGTGATGAAACTTTTGTCCAGACTTGTCTAGATAAAAATTTCACTCAAAAGGGGAAAGGTCTATTGGCGTCAGTAATTGAAGAATGTTTTGCCGCAACGCCTGAAAATCAAGAAGAATCAAAATCTCTGGAAAATGTCTTTAGTCTTAGAACGTTAAAAACTAGATAATGAGACTTGTGGCAGTCTTTTAAACACCAGATAATGAGACTTGTGTGCAACTTTAAGGGGGAAGAGAGGGCACTATTGATAAATTTCATATTCAGACAATATCATGTTTATCCTTCTTACCGATAACTAGAAACTGTAAGAACCTCTTACACTGTGTCACCAATACCACAGTAGATTTGTGCTGAGCACATCAATATTAATGCAGAATTTCAAATATATTCAGTCCTTCTCACCTTAGCTGTGCCCAATAAAGCCATACTTGATGGCAATGACTCATTAGGACTATCAAGATTCCAGGCTCCCCAAAGAGAAAACAGCGTTCCAATAACCTTGGTTAAGACACTCAACAATCGTTCTCTCGCCTCCAGCAACGGACAGGGTTTTGTACACATGCTGACGAATTAGGGAGTGGTCATTATTTATGGGGTGGTAGGGGGTGGATGATTTTTTAGGCACAAGGTAAAATTTGCCATAACCCCTCTATTGAGCAATTGTTGAAATTCACAACCCCTCAAAACAAGTTCAAAAAAATTTCCACCCCTCCTCAAGGAATTCGTTTTAAAGGGTATGGGCAACAAAAAATTTTATTGATTTTATTGCTTCATCTGAAAGAGCATGAAAAAATAAGCCGATTGGCCGTTTACTGCTCTATTCTATCTCACCTGGTTCCGAAGTTATACGCAAAAATATGCAAAATTTAAGTATGTTTATTGAATAGTAAACTAAAGCATAGCTGAGTTATTATTGGCTCAAATCAAATGAAATTTTGCATACAGATAGTACATGATGAGACGCATGGGAAAATACTTCTAATTTTGTTGTCAAGGCAACACAGTCGTTCCCAGGCCCCTTACACTGATTTTGAATAACTAGTTGCATTTCTCTATGTGTATGTCATTTTCGAATTATTATCATGCAAGTAAACTTTCGGCATGCATAGGTATCGTACACATACTTCTGATATTATTTTATTTTTATCAGTACCTTGAATAAAGCTGTTTTATAAAATTGGCGCAAGGGGCCTGGGAACGACATTGTTATCTTGGCAACAAAATTAGAAGTGTTTTTCCATGCGTCTCATCATGTACAATCAGTATCCAAAATTTCATTTGATTTGGGCCCATAATATAAACTGAGCTATGCTTCAGTGTAGTATTCATTAAACATACTTACCCAGCTAATGACGTCACACGTTGTGCTGAATCAGCAATTTATATTTTGCACATTTTTGCGTATAACTTCGGAACTAGACGAGATAGAATAGAGCATTAAACGGCCAATCGGCTTATTTTTTCATGCTCTTTCAGACGAAGCAATAAGATAGATGAAGCAATTTTTGTTGCCCATACCCTTTAACAAATATAAACATAAATTAAAAACAAAATAAACGTTAACAAAAAGTCTTCTAATGACCTTGTACTTAAGAGAATAAGACCAACTAACGACCGGTTATTATTTTGGCGCGCTAGATTTTCACAAATTTAATATAAGGGCTGAGACTACAGTTGTTTATTTTACAGCTTGGCATGTGATAACAGAATATATTCATTAAAGGAGGAAACCTGAACTAAACTAACTTCATTTATGCAGGATAGCTCTATCAGCTCTAAACTGTTCTTCTTAGAGGTCCAGTGAGGATCATCTCTTATTGATCCAGTGTTACTACAGGCATGGGCGTACCGGAAGGAAAAAATTAGGGGGGCGGAAAGAAAATTGCCCGACTTTTCGGGATTCTGCCCGACTAGTACCAAAAAATGTTTTCCGGAAAAATTATTTTGGCACAACACGATTAAAAGTGATTTTTAAATACATATATTTCGTAAAGCATGCGAGCGAATAAAATTTAACATCAATTTAATTTTAATTACTGTGTTAAGCATACAAAGTCAAACCACAATAGTGGTATTATTAATTAAATCCTCTGAAAGAATTTAAAGATGTAATCGTCTTCTATAAGAAGGTGTTATTCAATTTCTTTACTTTAGTATACGTTAACATTTACAATACGTCACACAATTACAATATTAATTAAAGCTTATAATTTAAGCGAAGCTAGCGTTAGTTAAAATTTAAGAACAAATAAAGTTAAATTATTTAATGTAAATAGAATAAGATAAGCGATGCACTCTGGACTCAAATTTGTTGGTTCTTTGTGTTAGTGCCTTCAACGTCAAATTTAAGCTCTATAGAACGATATAATTAGGAAGTTAATTATTTGGTTGAATAAAAAATGTTATTTAATTTGTTAATTCAAGTTTTTTTCAAAACACATGACACGAAAACGCCAATCTTGGCCAGAATTATTTTACCCAAAAGATTTGATTCGTAAGGAATATGACAGATTCCAAAAAAAATCTCTCCTCATTTTAATATTTTGCCTTCAAAATTAATTTCTAGAATACGCTAAAATGGATGACTTACATTTGACAGAGGTCACATGATCTTCGGCACAAAGTGCGCATGGCACGCGCTGTGAAAGGCTCGTGACAGAATCCTTGAGATGCATATAGTGTGCAATGTTTGTCAACATCGACACATCCAGCTACAAAACAATAAAGATAAACAAATCTTAGAATTATTGTTTGCTCACAATCAAACAATATGCCCTGCACATAAAATTTAGGAAAACATTCACGATCCAGTAATCGGAATATTCCAGTTAGACCGATCCGAAAACTAGCTGCCATTACTAACTTCTTATTAACCGAAAGCGAGGTCTGTACAGAGAAAAATCGGAGCGAGGTCTTTTTTGTACAGACGGAGCCCGTAGGGAGAGGTTTGTACAAAAATACCGGGGTCCGATATTTCTCTGTACGTACCGAGCAAGCGAGGTTATAATAAAAAGTTTATTATATAAAAAAATGTGATTTAATTTAAGAAATTAGAATATCTTTTAAAGCGCACGATTTTCTGCTCTTGGGAATTTAAAACAGCTTCTTAAACAGTTATTTATGCCTAAAATTTACTTATGTCAAGCTTTTATGCACTTGTAGGTTCAGCAGAGTGCTGAGGCATTCAAATTCTAACAACACGTTATTTCAGTTTTGGGGACACCATGTATATAGGCAACTTTGCCACTATGGCAATTCTTACTATGACAAGCACACTTGTTCAAAAAATAGTATAGCCAGCCCGTCAACAAAATATGACATATATTAAATCCTACCATTTGTGTTTTGCGAGATGGAATCAAATCGTCCCTGCCAAGCGCTGTTGTAATCCATATTCTGAGCTCTTCCGCCATTGTAATACACGTCCTTGTACTTGTACTCGGGGTAAACATCAGTCAATTTTCCCATTGTCTTGGAAGCAGCGATAGTTGATGGCGTTTTCTTGAACAAGGCATGACGGGCTCTCGCATGGAAGGTTTTCAAATCTTTAAAGGACTTTCTTTGCGCAGGCGCCTCGGGAGCTCTGGGTGTTTCGGATCGCATGTCAGGCGGGCAGAACTTACAGTAGATGTTAAGACCTACACGGAACAAAATGACTTTAGCAAAATGGAAACATATCGATTGTTGAATATTACAGTAATAAACCGGTTTTCCACTAGCGAATTTTCTCGCATGACATCAGCATTCAGGGGAAATGAAAGGCTTTTTTTATACGGCATATTTTAATAATTTTTCACTCACCTCTCTTGCATGGGCTGCAGAGCTGAGTAACAGGAATAGATGCTAAACAAACGCAAAAGAAGATATTAAATTTTGAAAGCAACCAAATATACTATCAGCCACTTTGGCTGGCTACTTAGTTTCTGGTACAAGAGTGCAATTCCAAAAAAATGACGGTCGCGGTCCAAAATTTCAACACGCAGGTTAGCGCAACTGTGAGACCAGAAATATTTACTTAACGGTGACTAGGGCAAAGGTTTTACACTATCAAAGTTTCTGTGATCACAGTAGGAATTTTGCATGGGTAAACTCTGAGTTTTGAAAGATTGTATACTGAGCATAGATATCTTATATAAACTAGATAGTGCATCTAATTATTCTGAAATTCAAAAATTGAAGCCGTGATTGCAGACTCAGGATATTCCCATGAAATGAGAAGACTCGTATGTTTTCTATTTCTTAATTAAACAGGGAACTTAAACATTAAGTTAAACCTATTCCAAATACATTTTCAAACTATTCAAATGATGAAAGTTATTGTTGTTTTTTAAGCGTTTATTAGCGAGTGGGAAACTCCAACATGGCCGCCATCTATTCAAATGGGGGTAACCGGAATATTCTTGGCTTCAATTTTACTAAAACAGATGCGCTATCTAGTGTATACAGGGTGTATCAAAATAAACGCAATTCATCTTTTGTGCTTAATAACTTTCGAAATACTATTTCTAGTTAAACGCTTTTAGGCTTACTTCAAAGCCTGTTCTTTTCTCTTTCAAACAAACTATTATCCTTGTCTCCAATGCTAGTAATAATTGCACAGGAAAAGATTTAGTAAAACCTATCATTTTTAGTTGCTCTTTAATTTTGCAAGTTTACTATGTTATTGTTTAGTCGGTTTAAATGTTAGAATTTTCTTCTTTAAACATTAATGTTGTCGTCGCTACATCTGGAAACCCACGTAAGAACAAATTAAAAGTATTTTAAAAGAGACCAGGTTGTTTGAAATCCTAAACGAATGCTAAAAATCGTCAAAACATTCTGGTGTCTGAGCCAGAGTGTCATCGAATTGCGATGTAATGTAAACAGAAATTATAGCAAGTTGATGTCAGTCAGCTTAGATGGTCCAAGCCAAAATTATATCGCATTTGAAGTTTCAAACTGAGTTAAAAATAGTGGAATAAAAGCCGTAATTATACTTATTGTTACAATCCATTTAATAAAATGCAACATTTTTTTGTTTTAATGAAAAAATCAGTTATTTTCATGAGAACGATTTGTTATTCCATCTCAATTTTTTTAATCTCCAATCGCAACAACGTAAAGTATTATTACCCGCGAACCAATGAGTCAAATTTAAGAAACA